AAAACAGCCACTACCACACTGCTCAACAGTACAATTTCAGTATCATTTCTTTGTATTTTTAATTTGACATAGGATTTGAAGCTGCAATAACAGATTCCATTGGCCGCTCAGGGGCAGCAGAAATTAGCTGAGAAAACAATCCTTACGACCTTTCAGGCTGTTATAGCTAACATGTTAGCAAACAGTTGCCTACTTACACATCCAGCATATATGGAGCTTTTATTTGCAGTTGTGCATTTTGATCAACTGACAAATGTAAATCAAATATTCACTCCACCTTTAGCTATGTTTTGCTTTCCACCAAATCTTGGAGAAAAAAATAGTCAATTCCTGCAATATGCTCCACCATCTTTACTACAGCGAGTTGCTAACTTTGTTTTGTTATCTTTGTTTTCACTGAAAACAATTTGAGACACACTATGAGACTGGTGAGAGTCAATCAAAACAGAAACCTGTGGGCCCGGCAACCAAAACAAAGAACTGAAAGATGCCATAAAGCTCTGTGGCTGTATATGCTTTAGTCTTGAGGCCATCTTCACTGACACTATTACGCACTGACTGTGTCATCAGAAACTTTGATGTCTCCATCCTGGCAATTACGAGCAAACATCAACATCCTCCATTTGAATCCACTTCAAACCTTCCCCCCTTCAAACTGCAGAAGGGAGAAAAACCCAAAACTGCTTACCAAACGGGACCATCTGGAGGCAGTCATTGGCTGATGGGAGCTGGAGGCCTAAACGGCTTTGGGGGGTAGTAGAAGGGAAAGCAGACAGTGAAACAGAGAGAGACAGAGAGACAGAGGAGCAGCTACGTCTACGAAACCATGTCGTGAGTCCCCTCACTGCAGGCAGGATGGTAATTACAGGGCGCAGACAGAGAAACCCTGACTTGGGAAAAAAAAAGCGGAGATGCTCAGACTGCTGGGTTGCCGCCCTTGGGCCCTCAACATAACCGCAACGTTAACCAGCCCATCTTATAGTATAGGCCATGAGAGTAGGGTTCCAGATCAGTGCACTGACACACAGAGCCAAGGAAGAGGCAGTTTGCGGGTCCACGTCGGTCCATCACAGACTGGTTTCCACCTGACAGGGACCACACAGAGCCTTCAAATTGGTAACAAAAGCTCTGTGAAGCCTACAATTAAACTTGCCGAGGTTTCTTTTTTTTTTTTGTTTGTTTTTTTTTTTTTTGGGGGGGGGGGGGTGCACGGTGCAGATGACTTTAAGTGTCACCTAGGGATTTTTATGGTATAACAGTCTACTTTTCGTCTGGTTGTCTGTGAAGTTACATGCTCACAACACACAATCAGAGGCAAAGAAACTTCTATGTTGCATGATGACAAACGAATAAAACAAAGCAAAAGTGAGAAAAATTAAAAAAAAAATACACCAAACACCAAAAGAATATATAAATAAATAAAAACTCACCACCTCTTTTTTTTTTTTTTCTTTTTACATAACCCGGTTGGTATGATCATTAAACGACATGAGTCACCCGCCCTGTGTGGCTTCTTTGCCGTCATCGAGCCAGAGCTCACATCAAACCGCATCAGAGTGAAGAGTTTTTGAGTTCTGCCCCCGATCCCGACTTCTTCCCTAATAAAGCTTTGAGGGCAAGGAGCAGTGCAGGGACTCGCCTTTTACCAAGTGTCTGAGCGTTATAAATCATCACCCATGCCCAGCGAGGCCGCGTCCTTCACACATCCTCATACAGTCAAGCTCTATACAGCATCACACTGAGGGCAGAGAAATGAGGTGGGTTGCAGTTCATCACATCCATCAGCACCACTGACAGGGAGATGATAATCCATAGAACCAGTGTGCACGGGTTGAGATGAAATATACCTTCAGAGGAGACTAATGTTTTCAACTGATGAATGGGGTGGGGGGGGTGGGGTGCTGCTGCTAGGTTCACCTTAGATGACCTGTTGCACAAAGGCTTCCTTAATTCAGGAAAACTTGACGCAGTGTGAGATAACTTTTTTGCCACCAGCGGTCGAGCTAACAATGCAGTGAGGCGTTCACCAGGTTTTGGCGGTTTTTCTCTGCGAGGTTGCTAACGTTGCAGGCTTTCAGCAAGTCGCAGAATATTGCACCAGTATTTCTCCAGTGACATTTATCTGGGCTCTCCCATTCCTTCACTCAGCTCGAACTGTAGATTATAGCAGCAGAGATATGAACTACATGACGTATGATTCCCATTTTCCAGCGCAGGTGTCAAAGCTGTGTATGTGCTAATGATGAGTGTGTCCAGGGGGAGGGAGAGGAAACACTCCCTGGGGTGATTTGGCACCGCGGAGCAGGCCACTCTTCCAGGCTGTCGTTTTTATCGAGGGAGGGGCTGTGACTGACTGCAGGGTCAGAAAATTGCCTTGCAGGGGGTTATTATTATTATTATTACTTTTTTATGTCTTGAGGATAAGATTTCTTGTAAAGATGTGTTAACTGTTTTTTCCTTGAACCACGACCTCCCAATGGCCTTGGTTTCTATCTATAGAACACGTAAAGTTTGCTCAAATTAATATGTAACCACTGAACACACCTTTGACAAGAATGTGACCAAGAACAGAAAGTACCCTCCACAGTTATGTTTTTTTTTTTTTTCCTTGTACACTCCCTTTCCCAATGACAAGAATACATATAAGAAGAAAGCAACAAAACCATTAAATATTCCAGTGCTGTACCGAGTCGAACAGCCGATCGATTGCAAATCCTCAGGTGTCTTTTATGCCGGCTCTGTAGCCCTGAGGCACTCACCCAAGCACACACCACAGACTTGGATCTGAACTTTTAATCACTAGATGAGCAAAGTCGATGCACTGGTTTCACAGCCAGAAGCAAAAGGGGGGAAGCACAATCTGTCTTCTCAGAGAGAGAGGAATCAATGCTGCACTGTGACAAAATATCCATTTTTAATTCTTCTGCAGCCATTCGTCATAAACATTCGATGAAAGACATGGTTTCTCTTAACTTTTTAAAAGCACGCTAAATGAAACATCAACTGTGCGTGTTTATTTTTTCGAGCATGTGGTCCAACATTCTGTAATACATTATCTGAATGATCCATAAATTAGCATCAGATTCTCAGTTAAAATAAATCCAGTCCACAGGCCGCAGGGTGTCGGGCGAGGCAGTTTGATTTGTCACTCACACATTCAGTGTTTTCCATTATGACAGCTTCTTTCCAAGTCACACTGGCTCTTTTTCTACACAGGAACAGCATAAGCCAGTTAGATAGGTCTGTGTGTCCAGGGCTGTTTTACTTAGCAGAATGATATATCTCTGTCGCACCACCCAGCCCACACCCCACACCCTTCCTCTATCTCCCTCCCTCCACCGGTGGAGCCCGAGGGGACAGGAGACGGCTGCTAATTGCAAGTCTGAACCAAACACATGGTGTTAAAAACAGATAACGCCGGCTGACAGAAAGCCTGTGATGAAAAACATGTCGGAGACAGAACACGTCAGAGAAAATCTTTTTTTTTTTTTTTTTTAAATCCCTGGCTGTCATTCATCCATTTCGTAAGAAGCCTGCAATAACTTGGACTCAAAAGTCATGTGGTAATAAATAACATTATGTTAACATCTCTTCACAGAATCATCAAGAGCTTGGCTCTCTGTCTTACATTAAAACTTGGAGACTCCAGGCTCTCCAGCAGCCACACAGCAGCTGACTGTGCAACAATCTCAGCAACAGCAGCAGCAGCAGCAGCAGCAGCAGCAACAGCCTCTCACCTCTCCACAGCCCTGCCACTCCCTGACAGGTTTATGGACACAGAACACCATCTTTCCTGCACAGGGCTGCCTGAATCGCCTGACCTGAGTGCAAGGTGTAAATGCATAGCGGCTCTACCACAAGAAAAGTATCAAGACTTTGAGGAAAAAGGCCTGAGGGAATGTGCTAAGCAGGGAGTGCTCTATACACAGAGCAGTAAGCGCAGTTGTAAAGGAAATACAGCACTAATTGATTCGGCGCGTGCTAATGTACTGTTTGCTCACTAAGCGGTATCCTCTGGGTGTGTTTTAATAGTCGCACCACACCTGTCATAAATACACAAACTGCTAGAACTACATTGAAGATTATAAACTTACATCTTTAGCTCACAGTCAAATAAACTGTATTAGCTGTAAAAAAAGAATAAAAAAAATATAGGAAGATGATGGAAGGAAAATGATGATGCCTCTGACCTACATGGAGGCATGGATGGTGCATAAATGAGCCTGAGGCACTGACAACCATTCAGCCATTCAAATATCAAAAGGCCAACTATGAGTAATGCATTACCCTGCATTACAGCGGCTGAACCCTTGCACAGATAGGTTCCAGTGGAGGACGGCGACTTGCAGCCTATTTTAAAGTAAATTAATAATATGGAATACTTTGCTGAAACTTTCAGCAGGCTACACAGTTGGATGTGTTTGGCAAAGGGACGCTGGGGGCTGTGGAGTGAGGAGACATGCTATATGTCTTCTTCTCCAGAGATCAATTATTTCCTCAGAACAAGTCAGGACTCAGAGAAAGTCCAGCCTCTGGAGACTGCAACACTTTGCACTGAGGCATCCGAGCACACTACTACTGAATCACTCTTCCTCCTATGGAAAACTACAGTGATATAACAAGAGGAAGGCTGCAGGGATTTATTCTTAGAACCACTGGAAATGTGAAAACACTGTATGATGAACACTAGTAAAAGCACACAAGTGTCTGCAGGAGAAAGTAATATTAATATCACTGGATAGCTTTTCAAAGCATCATACTCTATTGATTTATCGATACTTGCCTTAAGGCAGGCTGCTTGTTGTGTTAATGAAAAAAATTCAGCTCACATGAGTTAAATGCCAGTGTTGCTGGTGCAATGAAATAGTGAAATACAATGAATGAAGCCTGTCATTAGTCCTACGCTGTCGTCCAGATCTGATACATTACAGGTGAGTAGATACAGCAGAGGCAGTGACGTTAGTAACACGGGGCTGGATGTCATTCATTCACCCAAGTACCTGTCATCGTAGCAGAAATCGGCGCCCAGAGTGTTGACATACAGGACCAGAGCCACGGCGCCGCACAGCAATTCTGCAAACATTTCTCTGTCTCGCACACACGCGGGGAAAATGATAACAGTACTAATAATGATAAACTAAACTGAAAAAAAAAATAAAATAAAAAGAGAGAGAGAGAGAGATGCAAAGCGAGGCTGCGAATCCCGATCTCTACTCCCTCTCAGTCCCCGTCTTTGTCAGGATGTCTCTGTGAAAACAAGTCCGCTTCCCCCTCCATCATCCTCGCTGAAGTGCACAAAGTGGATAATCCATCGGTCGCTTTCTTCCTAACCCATGTTTGGGTGTGAGGCTGGAGAGCTGTGTAGCCTGCTGGGAGTTGGGCTCTGAAAATGAAACACGAGCAGCGTTTAGTGAATCTGTGACAGCATCGCCCACCGCACGCCTTCCCGACACTAGAGGAGGATCAGTGCTCCGATGCTCAGCGGACGCTCGCTGCTGGAGAAACGTCGTGATTGAGACCGCGGTCAAGGCGGCAATAATGCATACGCAACGTCCGGTTAGACTTTCAAAATAAAGCTTGCTGTGAAACGTCATAGAAATTAGGCCCATAAAAAAAATAATAAGGAATGGTTTCTTCTCATTTCATATTAAACATTAAAAGTCTAATTTTTAAGGTTAAAAGTTTTGCATCATTTTGTAATTTCTTGACTGAACATAAATTTACAATTTACGCCTAAATAAATCACGTTACAGCCCGTTTTAAAATAGCAAACCATAAACATCTGCATGTTGATATTAGACATTTTTGTTATTCTGTAAACAGCTACTCTCCCTTAAAATAGACAATGTAAGTTTAATTTTTAAAATGAATATATCCAGCCAATATTAAGACAAACTTTATTCATTTTCCTAGAAATCGACTCTTACTTTTTTAAGAGTTGTTGGGCCTTATTATGAAAAAAACCTGCTACACTTCCGCTCCTACTCTTGGTGTCTTTGGGTACTTGATGAAGTTGTGATCCAAACGCATGTGGTTAGAATATCTTGAGCGCATGCGCACTATCCCTCCTGTGGAGAGGGGGGGGGGGGGGGGGGGGGGGGGGGGGGGGGGTAAATCACACTACATAAGGTTCACCTACTACCACTAACTGTAGTCCATAATATGGAGGTGGTCCTCAGACTGACGTTCAGGTAGGCTCCATGAATTCCCCGAGCATGAATATTTTATTTCATTTCACTATTGCTTCATTGCCTAAGGACTTAGCACCACAATGAATGGGATATTATTGTAATCAGTGGTGTCGTATCCCTCATCCAACACCTACAGTATAGAATAAATTATGGTTTAGGCTAATGTGTATCTCCTGTTCCTTAATTAGGAATGCAAATAATTAAAGAACCTCAAGGCTACATCAAATATTGTAGCGTTGCTATAAAATTATTCATTGTGTTCTGAAATATTTTGGTAAAACTTTTATTGATATACTTGTCTGGGTTCAATACACTAAACATAAATGATCACAGCTGCAGAAAACAGCTGCCAAATAAGAAACTTCATGTGTCTGTGCTTTGACTTCTGCTCATTGTAAAAAAATAAAAAATAATTAAAAAAAAAAGGCAAAAAATTCACAGTTGTTTATTCAAAATTATTTTATAGTCTGCTTTTAGTAGAAATCATAGATTTGTGAGTTGACTTCTGTCAGTGCAGTGAATGTTCTGTCAGAGTATAGACCGCTTTGATGCAAGAGACTAGCTGTCTGATTAAATCATAAAAGGAAAATATTTTCCTTTGGTTGACATGAAGAAAAGGTGACATGTTCATCACACTGGCCCCTGAGAGGCTCACAGTGTCATTCCAGTAATTGCTTTCTATTGATTTAAAATGCAGTGCACAGCGAGCTGCACAGTCACCAGTAGAGGGCTCACAGTGCATGATGTCTGTGGGGAGATCACACCAGTCCCTATTTCAGTCTCTATTGTGCAATTAATTGCATTGTCCATAAATGCAATATTTTTCCAGTAATTATCCAGTGATTATCTCATTGTTCCAAAATGACTACTTTAAAACAGTGATAGAGTAAAAAAACAAAAAAAAGAAAGTGTTCTTTTTCATGATGAATAACATCAGTGTCTGATTATTATTAGACTTTCCTAGATTGGATCTTGTATCATCAATTTCAGGATGAACAACATGTTTTAATTTCCAAAAATAATATACAGCATTTTATAATCAAACTCTTCCACCAGTTAAAATGTTCTTGGACTCTCTTCCAATAGAGGATATTGCACAATATCAAGACGTAAGAGACCGACAGCAAAGAGAGGGGGAGAAAAAAAGAATAATTGTAAAAGTGGTCGACAGACAAAGCAAGTAGCCTGGCCCACTGCATATTGATTCAGGGTTGTTTCAATAGACAGACCCCATCTGTCGGGCCAGACTTCAATGTAGCCTTTCACAGGACAGCAGCAGGACACTATGATGTAACACATCTCAGGAATTAATTAGACTGATCAGAGCAACTGGCACAAGGTTTTTGCTTCTAGTCTACAGTTCACAAGCACTGATGAAATATCAAAACATGAAGGAGCCAGTGCTGTTTTCCCTCTGGGTTAAATGCATGTGCTACAAGTGATAATGTGATAATTAGACAAACATTTGATCAAATGATTCTCTTCTTGTTGGTTATCATACAGCTTTTCCAACATTTTATTCAGCAAAGGACTGATCAATGAAAAAAAAAAAAAATTATATATACTATGTATATATATATATATATATATATACCTGTATATATATATACACTGTATACATGAATTTTAATCAAAAATTAACATAATCAGTAATGGAAATAATTGGTGGATGCCAAACAATACTTTACAGATTAAAAAACATGTGGTGAGTAAAAGTAATGGATGAAGTATTCAGATCCTTTACTCCATACCACAATGTAAAAGTGATAAAGTAGAAGTAGTCCATTGGAAATGTCACTGTCACTTAAGTAAAAGTACATATTAGAAACATGCATTTAAAACATCTAAAGTAAAAGTACTCAATGCATGAAATGGCCCCTGTAATATCATTATATATTACATAATTGAATTATTCTTACAATGCATTTATGCAGCAGCATTTTACTGCTGTAGTTAGTTGGGGTGGAGCTAATTTTTAACTATTTTATAAAGAGTTGTAACTAAAGATTATTTAGATCATTGATGCATCTGCTTATTGCTTGTCCAATTTAGTTTACTGTAATTTAAGACAAGTAAAATCAACACATCCTTACATTTTAAGAAAAGTATTATTCACTAATCAAAATAGTGCAGTATAAGTATATTTCAGCTAATTTTTATAGGGTCCAGTTGTTTAATACATAATAATGCATCATATTCTATAAGTTTATCACATGTTCTGTATGTTAAGTAACAAGTAACTGTATTGGTCAGACAAATGTACTGGAGTTAATGTACAACATTTCTCTTTAAGCTGTACAGGAGTTGAGTGTCATGAAACTGAAAATACAAGTACCTCACATCTGTACTTAAGTACAGTAATTGAGTAAATGTACTTAGTTACATTCCATGTCAGTAAAATATGATGCACAGCTGGAGATGAAGCCAGTCAACAGTATATAAACTTTACTGACATTAACTCCAGCTCGACCGACTAAAGCACTGAAATTCTGCTTACTGTGCACGTTGATGCATTTGCAATAATAATCCAATAATGCAATAAATGTAATAATACAACATTAACAGAGACCAGTCTGCGGCAGTCTGGATCCTTGCACGAACTTAGCATAAAGTCACAGTTCAATACAACTTGACTTCTGTTGTGTGTTATAGAAACAACCAATCTGATGGAGTCATAGATTAAGGGAATCAAATTCAGTCAGATTTACAGAGTAATATCTAATTGAATTGTTAACTGTACATTATGATGATAAGTTCTCAGTTTCACATATGTAAAGTGTCCAACCAAAGTGAAAACATGTGGGGGCTTCTGCCTGATGTGTGCGACAGAGGAAGACCTCCCTGAATGTCTTTGGATCCTGGATGGTTTGAAGGAATTACAGGGACACTGCTCTGGCTGTTGGATAATTACAGGTTCAGACCCACGTCTGAGGGCCAAATCACTTCTGCATGGAAAAAAACCCAAGGAGAAACGTGAGTGTGGTAAAACAGAAAGTGATGCTTAACGCAGGCTCTCTTAAGTATGTCTTTGCACGAAGCCAAGAGGCTTAATCTGATCTGTGGGTGTTTGGGAGGGACTGACGTTAAGTATCAAACACGAAAACTTATATCAGGCAGCATGTAATGAATGATAACTTGAATGACACAGAGAAAATGCATGCAGGTGGTGTACTGTGATGAGCCAAAGTAAAAACAGAAGTTCCCACTTTTTATCCTGTAATATTATTCTTAACTCTTCCCTCTACTGTCCTCCTCATGCTCGTGCAGTCTGAGCTCTGCTACTCAACCTGTGCTCCAATAGCGACTCCAGCAAGCAGGAAAAAACATGAGATGAATCGGTGTGAGATATCAAATCTGAATATTCATCTTGAAGCTGCTTACTCAGCGGTAAACTACCGTCAGTAAATTACTTTTCACTTCAGAGTTGACGGTGCAGTCGGAGTGAATGAGAATGCTGACGGGCAGAGCGAGAGGAGGCGGGAGAAGTTATGTGTCCGTCAAACAAGGCGCAGTGGCATTTCCATTAATATAATTTGTCCTTCTCTTTTTCATGAGGGACTTAGCTGTGTGGCAGATCCATTAACTGTGACGGAGACGGAGGAGCGGGAAGTTTGATGGACGAGATTGTATGGAGCAGTGAGACAATCTAAGAAAAAGGTCTTGGGAGAGTCTGGCTGCCAAGGCTGTGTGATGTTAGGAAGATTACACTGAACCTGGGCCTCCTAAATATATATAAGGAGATAACTACTTGCCTGCACTCACACATACATCCTCCCTCCACCACATCTCAGTGTGCGATGGTGCGTGGAGGACAACATTTCCAATTTAAAAAGCAATTAAATTCTGAGCAGAAGAGAGAAGTGAGAGGAGAATCCAGTGTATTGTAAAAGCTTTGCTATTATCTTTAGCATAAGCTTGCCCAAATCAGTGGTACATAACCCAAGGTTCTTTGGCTCTTAAAAAAAAAAAAAGAGTTGTGATACTTTTTTTCTCAAGTAACCACCATCTTAGGAGTCCATCAGCACACTCTGCGTCTTGCTTTGAACCCTAGTGCCCCCTGCAGCGTCTGCCACGCTGCTGTCTTCCTCTCTCAAGTCTAAGCAGAGCGGGAAAGTCTTGATCTTCGGCGAGGAAGGGAATGCAGTTTCTTCTTCTCTTTTAAGTCCTAAGTTCTGAGGCAGATTCTTGTTATTTGCC